CATCTCTCCTCCTCTTCCTCCTCCTCCTCAGTCACCTCTTCCTCCTCCTCCTCAATCACTTCTTCCTCCTCTTCCTTCTCCTCCTCCTCCTTCCTCTCTCTCTCTGTCTCTCTCTCTGTTTGCGATGCTGGAGATGGAACTCAGGGCCTTGAGCACGACAGGCCAGTGCTTTACCACAGAGCTACATCCCCAGATTTCTCAATTACATCTATCTTTTGATTTGTTTGTTTAGGTTGGCTGTTTGCTTTGTTTTGTTTTTTACTATTTATTTATTTATTTATTTGGTACTGGGGATCAAATTCAAGACCTTTTGCTTGCCCGCCAGGTGCTGTGCCACTGAGCTAAATTCCCAGCCCTGCTTTTTTTTTTTTTTTTTTGGTACTGGGGATCGAATTTGGATCCTTGCTCTTGCAAGGCAGGTGGCGGAACCACTGAGCTAAATCCCCGGCCCTCTGCTTTGTTTTTAATACAAACTTTATACCACTTATAAATTTATAAATTGTGCAAGGTGAAGTATATACAGTGGCTTTGATATCAGTCTCCACTCCTGTTCTCTTAGAAACTCATAACCGATATGTCTAAGGGATCAGTTTGGCTAGAGTTCCAGATCATCTGTATGCCTATTTTGGCTTGTTTCCAGTGGTATTTTGTTTTGCAGTACTGGGATTCAACCCAAGGCCCTTGTGCTGAGCTATATCCCCAACGGTTTTTCTTTTTGTTTTTTGGGTTTTTTTGGTAACAGGGATTGAACTCAGGTCTTGTCCCCAACTTTTTTTATTTTTGTTTTGAGACAGAGTCTTGCTAAGTTACCTAGATGGGACTTGATCTTGTGATCCTCCTGCCTCAGCCTCCCTCAATGCTGGGATTATAGGCATGTGCCACTGTGTCTGGCTACCTCCTCATTTGACTGGGATATTTTCTTGGCTCAGGACTGTGTGTTAAAAAAAAAGGATAAAAAGGGCTGGGGTATAACTCGGTATAGAAGTAAAGTGCATACCTTACTTTAGGGTTTACTTACTGTTTACATTCTATAGGCTTTGAAAATGCAAAATGTCATGTATCCACTGTTACAGTATCATACAGAATAATTTCACTGCCCCCAAAATTATGTTTCACCTATCCACCCCTCTATTCCTCCCCAGCCCCAACAGTGATCTTTTTACTGTATGTTATGATGGTTTATATCTAGATGTCCCCTCAAAACCTCATGTGTGCAGACGTGGGGTGTTGGGGAAGTGATTGGATCATAGGGGCACTATACTCCTGTGGATTAGTCCCCTGATGAATTTATAGTAAATTTGATATTAGGAAGTCGGGTCTGGGTAATGGAGTTGGATAACTTGGGGCATGACCTGGAAGGGTCTGCCTCCCTTCATGGCTTCTCCCTGGCCCTCTGCTTCCCCGATGCCATGAGGCAGGCAGCTGTTCCTTCACCATGCCCCTCTGCCAGACCTCCCTGCACTGGAGCCAGCAGACTATGGACTGAAAAATGAGCCAAAATAATCCTCTTCTTTTTCTATTTGTAGGGGTTGAGTATTTTATCCCCAAAATGAGAAAAGTAACTAAGACACAGTCTCAGTAGTTTTGAGTTTTCCAGAATGTCTTACAATTGGGATCATATAGTTTGTAACTTTTTCACAATCTTTTTTTTCCACTTAATAATGTACATTTAAGTTTCCACCATGTCCTTTCATGATTCATAGCACATTTCTTTTACTGTTTTTTGGGGGGTTTTTTGGGGTACCAGGGATCAAACTCAGGACCTTGTGCTTGTAAGGCGGGGAGCAGAACCACTGAGCTAAATCCCCAGCCCGGCACATTTCTTTTTAGTATTAAATAATAATCCATTGTATGGGTGTACCACAGTATACTTATCCATTCACCTATTAAAGAACATTTTGGTTGCTCCCACATTTTGGAAGTTATAAAGCTACTAAAAACATTGACGTGCAAGTTTTTATGTGGACATAAGTTTTAAATTCATTCAAGTAAATACAAAAGAATAATGCCACTGAATCATATGGTAAGAGTATGTTTTGTTCCTTCCAAAGCAGCTGACCATTTTACATTCCTACAAGCAATGAATGAGAGTTTCTGTGGATCCACATCCCTACCAGCATTTTTTCTTATCAGAGTTTTGGATTTTGACTAAATAAGTTGTGCTGTCACTGTTGTTTGAATTTGCAATTTCCTAGTGACACATGCAGTTGAGCATCTTTTCATATACTTATTTGCCATATGTGTAGTTTATCTTCTTTACCTAGGTATCTGTCTAGGTCTTCTGTCTTTTTTTCTTTTTTTTTGAGACAGGGTCTTGCTATATACTCTACGCTGGCCTTGAACTTGCAATCCTCCTGCTTAGCCTCCTAAGTGCTATGTCACCATGTCCAGTGTTTTTTACATTCTGGCAGTTAATCTAACTTGTTCATAATCCATTAATTTATTTTGTTGTGAAATGATGTATCATTTAAATATATATGACTGATCTTTAATGTTCCTTGTACTGCACTTTTCTGTTTTTTTCTTTTGTGGTACGGGGGATTGAATTCAGGACCTTGTGCTTGTAAGGCAGGCATGGTTCCACTGAGCTAAATTCCCAGCCACGCAGTGTTTTTCCTTTTTTTTTTTTTGAGACAGGGTCTCGCTATGTAGTTCAGACTGGCCTTGAATTCACTATGTAGCCTAGGCTGACCTTGAACTTGCAGCAATCCTCCTGCCTCAGCCTCCTGAGTGCTGAGATTACAGGCATGGACCACCATAGCTGGTTGCTTTATATTTTAAAAATTAGATTATATGTATTTATCTCTATCTTGCTTTACAGTGTGGAAATCCTTCCAAATCAACTTGGATAGGTCTAACAGTCTTTGTTATAGTTGCATAATATTTCATGGTATGAATGGTTCACAGTTTATGAAACATTTTCTATGAATGGTTATTCTTGAATCTAGCTTTTACCATCACAAACAATGCTGCAGTGTGCACCCTTGTGCTTATATCCTCGCACACTGGCACTTTTATTTCTATATGAAAGGAGGATTCAGTTGGTGGTTAGGAATACAAGCCCTAGATTCAGACTAAATGTGAAAGCCAGTCCTTTACTTATTATCTTGTCACCTTGGGCAAGTCACCTGATCCCTCTGTACCACAGGTTCTTCGTTGCTTCCTATAAAAACAGAATAATACTAACTCACAGTGTTGTTGCAAGAACTAAATGATAACATTTTATTGTGCATGGAGCAGAATCTGGCATAAAGTAAGTACTCAATAATGTTATTGTTATGAGATAAATTCCTAGCAGTGGGCTTGCTTGATTGAAGGGCATGTGTTTTAAAATCTTTTTTTTTTTTGAGGTAGGGTGTCACTATTTTGCCCAGCTGGCCTCAGACTCCTGGGCTTACACTGTTCTCCCATTCCAGCCTTGTGAGTAGCTGGAACTACAGGCCTGCACCACCAAAGCTGGCCTTGAATGAGACTATCTTCGAGGTTGCTGGCCAATGGAAGCAAAGCACTTACCAGTAAGCGAGGCCCAGATGCATGTGTCCTTTGTCTTGGCTTTGGATTCTTCACTCTTCCTTAAGCATATTGTTAACACTCATTACAGATCTGAGTGGTTACCTAGCATTTTGAGGGTTTTTTAATTGGAAAGTTATGTAGTATAGTGGGGTTCTAAAAAATAGCAAATCTCCCTGGATTTGATCCCTACCAAAGAGGAGAGTGTGGATTTCAAAGACCTTAAGAACATTACCTCATAAATGAGATATTGAGCATTAAAGTCCAGGAAATGCAGGATTCTATGGGTTTGTCCCAGGAGAATAATTCAGGTGGTTTCTTTTATCAATATATTTCTGGGCTATCTTTTTATATCATCATTTGAGTCCCCAGATATAAGTTCTTTTTAGTAAAACACTTACTGAGCACTTACTAGTGTGCCATATACTGAATGAACATCTGCAACAGTTCCAAGATAAATCAACAATGTGAAATCATTTTTATCAGTACAAAATTACACCTGAGCTAATACAAACAGTATCAATTGACAACACAGGTTATGTGAAAAATAATTTAATATGTCTTGACACTTTAGCCTCCCGAGGTCTTACAGTATTCTTTTTTTTTTTTTTTTGGTACCGGGCATCAAACTCGGAACGTTGCACTTCCAAGGCAGGCGCTGGAACCACTGATCTAAATCCCTGGCCCTTACAGTATTCTTAATAGGGTTTGTCAGCAAAGTCGGAATCTCTTGTTCAGTTTTAGAGTCCTGGAAGGCTCTGGATGTTCATCAGCATGGGTCTGGACGAATTCTATCCCTCCTTCAAGGGCCAGCTCTGGAGCTGCTCCATCCAACGTTTCCTTATAAAGCCCAAGCACGTCTTTTGCTCCTCCTCGCTGCTCTCACAGATCCCGCATTAATCTAGCAGTTAGCACATATTCTTGTCAATATTGCCTTTGTATGTCAAACTGGATGGATCTTTAGGGAAGATTGGGGCGCGCCATCCCTCTGTTGTATCACATTAAGAGGCGGCCGCCCACAATATGCCACCCATCATAGAAACATACTCCACTCAAATCTAAGGGACTGCCTCATTAACCTTGGGTTCCTATTTCCCTCCCACTTTCAGCAATCTGGTTTATTCCATGGGTGGAGAAGGAAGCCAGATCGGCTGGGTGAGAAGGAATGGCGTAATTGTGAGGTCACGGTACATTGTCCCGAATGCCATCTGCTGGGGAGGGAGGGTGAGGTCCCCATCACGCCGAGATGACGGGAACGCAAGATTCAGGCATGCAGCTGTAAGAAAGATAGAGACCCAAGTAGCATAGACTATGGGCAAAAGTGGGGACAGGGAGTGAACAATGCAGGGAGCCTGGCGAGCAGAAGCAGGACACCTGAGGGACAGCGGAGAGCGCCGGCCGAAAGCGAAAGTGAAGAGCTAGACGCCTGGCAGAGGGATGGGGGCGGGACTTCCGGAAGCCATTTGCCTGAGTGGCAGGGGAACCGGAAGTGGAGGAGCTGCTGCTGTTGCTGGGGCCCGAGGTGGGACGCGCCAGAGCGGGGCCGCCGGGACTGAGCGAGCGTCAGACGCGCCACCCGCCGACTCCGCAGCCATTTGGGGCCCGCACGGACCCTCTACCTGAGTGAGTGCATCCAGGGTTCCAGGAACCCATGGCTTAAAGGTGGGGGTGGGAACGGGCGGGCGGCGAGGTGTTATTGTGAGAGGCCCGCGAACTCCCCTCCCCCACCTAAGCCGGCCCCTCCCTCGCGCCATCACCCCCACCGGCCTTTGGGGGGCCGCGCGCGCGCGCGCGCGCGCGCGCGCTCGGGCGACCCAGCGTTGGCCACAGCCGGCCGCGCCGCCCGCCTTCCACTGGAGCCTCTCTCTCAGCGCCCCACCCCCGAACCTGTCGACTCTCCTCAGCCGCTGGCTGGCGCCTCCACCCCGCCTCTCGTGGAGTAGTGGAGGAGTAGCGTGGCGGGGCGCAGCACCCTGCCCACCCCAGGACGAGGCCTCCCTGTATCCCAGCCCTCGAGGCTTGTCGTTCGCTGCTGCAGGCGCTTTTCCAGCCTCCGGGCTCCCTTTCCCCTGTGTCCCTAGGGTGGAACCTCTGACCCTTCTCTCTCCGCCCAGCTCCTGTCGGACGCCGAAACCATTTACTCTTGTGCGTGCGCGCGCGCGCGCGCGTGTGTAAGATCAATCGTGTTTTCCCTTTACCCATTTGATGAAATACTCATACTCTTTAGGAACTTCTTCGTTGCCTTCTAAAGTATTCCAAAGATTCAAGTCGTGACTCCGAGGGTTTCTTAGAAAGTTGTCCAGTCCAGCACTCTCTTTTAAAGGTGAGGTCTAGAGAGGTTAGTGATTTGTCCAGAGTCAGCTAGCTAGTTAAACCTGTCGGTGGCTAGATAGGTTTTCTGGGGTGTCTTTTTTTTTTTTTAACCTGGTCCACTTCGTTTACCAGGCCAGGGCCTTGTGGTCTACAGGTTCGAGTCCCTTATGGGATGACTCATTCTACTTTCTATAGATCCCGGGCCAGTGTTGTTTTTTATAATTTATGCAAACCTAAAGAAAATTCAATGTTTGAAGCTTTGACCTCTTTACAGAGTCTGCCATGGAGAAAGAAAGAGCACTTAGACTCAGGCTTGATTTTGTACAGTTTTAAATTGTGGGGAAAAATTTAAAAAAATAAATGGGGGTTCGTTGAGAGGTGAAGGTGTGGAAAATGAGGAAAGAGAAAATCCAGAAGATTGTTTTTTCCTTGGATATGACCTGTGTCTTTAGGTTCTTCTGGGCACATTGTTCTGACATAAAGGTTGCCTCCTTGTGGGAGAACTGGGGAGGAAATCATTATGTATTAGTTTGTTGGCTAGGGCATTGGGTAATAAATTATGGATGTGTTGGATCCTGGGGACCCATCCGGCAGCCACTGAGGCAGGGTATTGTGAATGAAGCTTGTCTTCATCTTCAGAATTCCATGCCAGCTCCCTCTGAAACAAACTGAAGAGTCTCAGATCCCTGTGGAAGCATTCTAAATCTTTTAATTCTTAATTAACTTTCTCCATCTGTTTTATGGCCCAAACTAAAGAAACATCCAGTTCATCTTGAGAATTTATAATTCTGTGTTGGAACTGGCTTCTGCACTATGCTGATGTAAGTATGTGAAAATTCTGGTGTATTGTCATAATCCAAGTTAAGTAGAAAAAATAGAAAATGCAGGAAAATTGTGCAAATTGCTTACTCTTTGTCTTCCCGGAGAACTCATTTTTATGGACAACTAAAGCTTCCCTGTAATATAGTTCTTGTGGTAAATTAACTTTTGTTCTTCCCATCTTTTAACTCCATTCTGCTTCGTTTTCTCACTGGCTCTTCTGTTTGTGATCTCAGAAATTAATGACTTGCTGCATTGGGAGATTATTATGAATCAGTAAGGTAAAATGGAAATCAGATCCCTTCCTGTTAGTTGGTTGTTTTTGTAATGAGATTGAACCCAGGCCTCCCTTGTGCTAGGCTAGTAGACTAGTGCTCTACTGCTGAGCTATATCCCCAGATCCCCTCCCCCCAAGTTCTTTTTTTATCTCTTTTCCTCCATTCCCCCACCCTCCATCTTTTGTTTCCTTTCCCGTTTGAAAAAGATCTCCCTACTTCCTATTATCTGCCTTTTATTTTGCTCTTTATTTATATTTTGGGCTTCTCATATAAGAGAAACCATGAGGTTTTTAAGCTCGTGTGTCTCATTTATTTCACAACATTGTGGTCTCGAGGTGCATCTGTTTACCTACAATGCCTCAAGTTTATCCTTTATGGCAGAGTAGTATTCCATTGTGTATAAATACATTTTCTTCATCATCTGATGGTGGACCTGTAGTCTGTTTCCAAGATTTAACTAATATAAATTGTGCTGCTATAAATGAGTATGTATGTATTACTGTAATTCACTCAGAAGGATACCTGGAAAGGAACTAACTAGCAAGCTGGTTCAAATGGAATTTCTAGGTTTAGTTTTTTGAGGAATCTCCATACCAATCTCCATAGTGGTTGTACTAGTTTACATTCCCATCAATGATGTAGAAGGATTCCTCTCCCGGCTCCCATGCAGCCTTACCAGCATTTGTTAATGTTTGATTTTTTTTGATGATAGCCATTCCTTCTGGGGTAAGATGGAATCTTAGTGTTGTTTTCATCGCATTTCTCTAATGGCCAGAGATGTTGAACATTTTTCATGTGTGTATTGGCCATCTGTTCTGAGAAGTGTCTGCTCATTTCACTTGACCATTTTTGATTGGGCCTTTTGTTTTGAGGGGGTTCTAATTTTTTTTTTTTAATATGGTCTTCTTAGGCGAGTGGCGGTAAAACCTATGGCACACCTGCCACAGTGGACACACAGAGCCCTCTCTGTTGGCATGCAAGCCAAGTCACCCCAGCAGCCAAGCATTGGCTAACAGTTGTTTTTTCTGAACTAAAAAAACCTCAGTATTCAGGTTTAATTGCAGGGTTGGCACTTTGTGATAAATAAGTGGGTTTTGAGTTACAGTTTGGGCACTTGGTCTCTAAAAGGTTTGCTGTCACTGCATTAGGCAGTTCAGGCTGGCTTTGAACTCTGTATCCCAGGCTGGCTTTAAATTCATGATGATCCGCTTGCCTCATCCTCAAGTGCTGGGAACACAAGTGTGCGCCACCACCCCCAACTAGATAGGGGTTCTAATTTTTTTTAGTTCTTTATGTATATTCTAGATGTTAGTCCTCCATCTGAGGAATAGTTGCCAAAAATTTTTCTCCCAATCTGTAGGTAGTCTCTTCACTCTTTTGGTTGTTTCCTTTGTTGTACAGAAGCTTTTTTTTTTCCTGATATCAGGACTCAAACTCAGGACCTTGAGCTTGCAAGGCAGGCACGTTGCCACTAAGCTAAATCCCTGGCCCATGTACAGAAGCTTTTTAATTTGCTATGATCCTTTTTGTTGATTTTCAGTATTACTTCTTGTGCCATTAGGATTCTCTTCAGAAATTCCTTGCTTACGCCTATGACTTCAGAGAGTTTTACGTACTTTATCTGCCAGCACATTGTTTCTGTTTTAACATTTAGCTCTTTGATCCATTTTGATTTTAATACATGGTGAGATATATTGGTCTTGATCCAGTCTTCTGCATGTGGATATTCAGTTTTCCCAGCATAGCACCATTTAGGTGGAGGCTATCTTTGCTCCAGTGTGTCTTTGGCTACTTTGTCAAAGATCAAGTAGCTGGATGTGTCTAGGATTGTTCCTGCTTCCTCTGTTCAGTTCCTCCATCCATATGTCTGTTTTGTGCCAGTACCATGCTGTTTTTATCATCGCAGCTTTATAATATCTTACAATCTAGGATTTTGATACCTCTTACCTTGCTATTTTTACCCAGAATTACTTTTACTATTCTGATTCTCTTCTGATTCCATGTGAATTTTTGGATTGTTTTCTCTCGATCCATGAAGAATGTTGTTGGTATTTTGATTGGGATTGCGTTAAATCTGTATATCAGTTTTGGAATTATAGCTATTTCCAGTCACTCAGACTTTTATGACCTGCCACAGGCTTCTCTCTGTATAATTCCTGATTCATCATCATCATTGCTCCCTGCCCCAGGGTCTACTCTTTGAGCTATACTGTCAGCCCTTTTTAAATTTATTTTGGGGCCGGGGATTTTAACTCAGTGGTTCCACCGCCTGCCTCACAAGCACAAGGTCCCAAGTTCGATCCCCAGTACTCCCCCCGCCAAAAAAAATTTATTTTGAAGCATTGTCTTCCTAAATTGCCCATTCTGTGCTCGAATTTGTAATTCCCCTGTCCCAATCTCTCAGAGTGCTGGGATTACAGGCATGCATCACTATACCTGGCTTATTCTTCATTTTTTGGTATAAAGTATGCAATAGTTTATCTGATTTCCAAATTTGAATCCTCTAAGCCCTCTATATTGTGTTTCCAGCCTCCTTCTTTTAGAGGAGATCACATGAATTTATGGCTCAGTTTTCTGGGAGTTTAAAATGTTACCAAACCATAGACATAAAATGAAAGCTACTTTGTACTGTAGGATATTTGATTTAGCAAAATAATTCAAAATCCAAGTGTCTGAAGCACAAAGAAACAAATTTTTGCTCAGATATGGGAGGAAAAATGACCTTGTATTCAGTTTGGGGTGGAGGGAGGATGCCACTACTCTATTGGGAATAATATTTAATCTTACAGTTATAGCTACCTTTTATTTTTATTTATTTTTATTTTTTGGTACCAGGGATCAAAATCAGAACCTTGTGCTTGCAAGGCAGGCGGTGGAACCTTTTAGTTTTAGACAAGTGACTTTTTTTTTTGTACCAGGGATCAAACTCAGGACCTTGTGCTTATGAGGCAGGTGGCAGCACCACTGAACTAAATCCCCAGCCCTAGACAAGTGACATTTTGTACCTCAGCCGTGTGTCTTTTTCATTTTGTCAGTGAAGAAATTTAGGATTCAAATGGAAGTGTTTTGCTTAGTATCAGAATGCTACTAAATTTGTGTAGTGATTAAAAAAAATACTAAACATTGCTAAGTTAAACTTTATCACTGTTTCATACAGTGTTTCCTGTGTAGAACATAATATCCTTTGCTCAAGAATAATAGATTTTTTTATGTTCGACAATAATGAGCAAGCATCCCTAATCTGAAATGTTCCAAAATCTGAATTGTTTTGAGAGCAGACACAAGTGGATGATGCCACAAGTGGAAAATTCCACACCTGACTTCATGTGATAGGTTACAGTCAAAACACCGAAATCAAAAATGTTGCATAAAATTACTTTCAGACACTATATAAACAAGTGAATTTTCATGTTTCTATTTAGGTCTCATTCCCAAAAATATCTCATTTTGTATATGCAAATATTCCAAATTCTAAAAAATCCAAAATGCTTCTGAGCCCGGCACAGTGACACATGCCTACAATTCTAGCTATTTGGAAGATTGTAGCAGGAAAATAAAAAATTCAAAGAAAGCTCAATGGTGGAGTGCCCCTGGGTTCAGTTTCCATTGCCACAAAAATAAACAGATAACAAAAACTCTGGTTTTATTTTATTTAAAAAAAAAAAACTGGTTTTAAACATGTCTAAGGAGTAGTCAACCTGTAAATCACTGTTCAATATGGTTTAAATAATAAAGCTTCTAGCATAAGGTACTGTGGAATAGTTTTTTTGTTTTGTTTTTGAGACAGAGTCTCACTACGTAGTTTGGGCTGGCCTTGAACTCACTATGTAGCTCAGGTTGGCCTCAAATTCTGTGATCCTCCTGCCTCAGCAGGCATGAGCCGTCATGCCTGGCATGAACAGTTCTTTTTTTTTTTTTTGGTACCAGGGATGAAATTGGGTCCTTGTGCTTGCGCAGCAGGCCCCGAAACCACTGAGCTAAATCCCCGGCCCCATGAACAGTTCGTAATAAACATTAATTGTAACTGTTATTGTTATTTTAGATTACCTGTTGAAATTCTGAAAATCTATGTCTGTAAAGTAGATCGTAGATTTTAAAGAGATGTTGAAGTTTACGTGGACCATTAGAATTGAAAATATATGCACCTCTGGGATGCATAAGATGATTCTCTGGAATATAAGAGAAAACTCAAAACTTCTTTTTCAACATTTTTTAAGGTAAAAATGCAAAAAATTATTAATAATTTAACATGTACATTAACAATCCACATAATTTATACACAGATATATGTATATTGGGGTACATTTCAGAAAGATTCTAAGACATTCAAAAATGTTTAAACTCATTAATCTGGATCAATCTCTACTCATATTTATACTCACTTTGTGCTTTCCTATTACATTTTTTTTTTGGTACTGGAGATTGAACTTGGGACCTTGCGCTTGTGAGCCAGGCGATGGAACTACTTGAACTAAATTCCTGGCTCCTATTACATGTTTATCTAGCCTGTTTTTGTGCCTCCATTGAGAGAAGTCTACCTTATGAGACAGATGATTTCAGTTTATAGTATTTATTAGAAACTTATCTCACTGTTCTTGGCATGGTGGCATATGCCTATAATCTTAGCATTTGGGCTGCTGAGGCAGGAGGTTCACAAGTTTGAGATCAACCTGGTCTACATAGTGAGACCCTGGTCTCAAAAAAAAAAAAGCTATTAAGAGGATTTTGATTTGTAAGAAAGAATGGGACATCAGTGGAGGCTAGGGATGGAACCCAGGGCCTGATACATGCTAAGCAAGTGCTCTTCCACTGAGCTACACTCCAGGCCCAAATGACACGCCCCCACCCCATTCTAGGGTTTGAACTAAAGCCTCGTGCATGCTAGGCACCTTTTCACTGAGCTATGCCTCTGGCCTTTTTAAAATTTTATTTTGTTTTAAGACAAAGAGTAAGTTGCCTGGGCTGACCTCTGATTTGGGAGTCCTTCTGCCACAGCCTTCCAGAAAGCTGGGATTATAAGGCATATATCACCACGCCCAGCAGCAAAGAAGCTTTTCTATAGAAGGTATAGAACAGCGATGGTGAACCGTTTAGAGACCAAGTATCCAAACTGCAACGCAAAACCCACTTATTTATTGCGAAGTGCCAACACTGCTGCCCCTTATGCGCACTATTACCTGATGCTCGGCTTCTGGGTGACTTGGCTGATGTGGCCGCAGGGAGGGCTCTGCCTGCCTGCTGTGGCACATGTGCCATAGATTCACTACCACTGGTATAGAATATTTTATTGAGTTTCCCAGGCATGGTGGCATACGCCTGTTATCTCAGCATTCTGGAGACTGAGGCAGGAGGATTGCAAGGGCAGCCCTGTCTCAAAAAAAAAAGTTTTATTGTGTTTACAAACAAAAGCAAAACCCTTAAATTAAATTTATATATGGGCCAGGGATTTAGCTCAGTGGTTTCACCACCTGCTGCGCAAGCGCAAGGACCCGAGTTCGATCCCCGGTACAAAAAAACAAAAATTATATATGGCAATATTTTGACTTCTTAAATCATTCTCCCTATCCCATCCCTCTTACTGGGGATTAAACTCAGGACCTTGCTCTTGCCAGGCAGTGCCGGCGCCACTAAGCTACATCCCCAGCTCTTTTTCCTTTATGCTTCTTTTGTGTGTGTGTGTGTGTGTGTGTGTGTGTGTGTGTGTGTGTGCGCACCTTTCTTAGATGTTGAAAGCCTAAACAAATACCATAGACTGATTGGAGCTATACAGATTCACCTTCTTGATTCTCATTTTTTACATTGACGTTGCATGTCTCCTGGGTGAAATGGTTAGATATAAGGCCCCTTTTAGGGAGTCAGAATGAATTGATTTGTGATCAGTGGGTCAGATGTGACTTCATTGGGATCAGGCAAACCTAATTTCAGGTCTCATTTAGTCTCTCACTGCACAAACTGCCTAAATTTTCTGGCCTTTGTTTTCTTCATTTTATAGTACTTTCGTGAGGATTGGAATGGTATGTATAAAACATACAGGATACATAGTCTCTTGTAGTTATTTTCTGAAAGTTGCCAGTTGTAGTAATCTAAGCATGCCCAAAATGTGGATGATAGTTTACATTTTTAGTCAGATAGGTGCTTAGCCCTCAACCTGATTGTGGGTTTTTGGTTTTTCTTTTTTGTTTTTTAGATTTAGTGTCATTTATCGTTCCAGTTTTAGTATGTGTGCTGCCAAAGTGAGCACAGATCTAGTGTCATTTAGAATCAAGGTAATTTATATAATTAGTGTTAATGTTGTTTACTTTTGTAATTTATTTTTCTCGAGAAGGTATCTTTTTGTGTTTAGAGATTGGTACTTTGGTATTCTAAAATCCATTACCTTTGGGTGGGCTTGTGGCTCAGTGGTAGAGCACTCACAAAGCATGAGGCCCTGGGTTTGACTCCCAGCACTGCAAAAACAAAAGCAAAAAAACTGAAAAACTACTACCTTGGCAGTGTCCAGTGTGTTTTATATACTCAGTATGTATGTGTGCATAATATATACCTCATACTGTATATCCCTACTTGTGTGTATGTATCTATATTTATAGAATAAATATAAGTCTTTCTTCTTTTCACAGAAAGGCTAGTTGTATTTGAGGATGGGAAAGAAAAAAAAAAGATTGCTCATATAGAGTAGAGCCTTGATATGAAAGCCACAAAATCTTAGACTTTTCTCTTTCTCATTGTCCTTTGCATTTAGAATCTATTTCTTCACAATTGGTTGAAAATCGTCTGGTTTCCTATTTGTCTTTCTAGAAGATTAACATTTCTGATTTTTCTGGGTTTACTTATTCCTTTTCTGCTATCCAGTGCCGTATTTGAGCTCATCATAACTAAAACTTTTTTGGTGGAGCTATGTCAAAAGTACTTAGTGAGCAGGCCAGGGATTTAGCTCAGTGGCACCATGCCTACCTCATAAGCACAAGGTCCTGAGTTTGATCCCCGGTATGGGGCGGGGTGGGGGTGGGGGTACAAACCTAGTGAGCATTTTTAAGACCTACTACCTGCCAGGTGTGGTGGTGCATACCTGTATTCTGAGCATTCAGAAAGCTGAGGCATCAGGATCTCAAGTTCAAGGCCACCCTGTTTTGAGACAACCAAAACTAGTACTAAATCCTGGAACTAGTTTTTATTATAACCTGTACTACAGTTGTGTGATGCTTAGTAACTAGTGAATGCTTATCATTGTTGTACTCATTCTTTAGTGTGAATCTCTAAAAAGGCTATAATGTAGATCTCACTGTACTGTGTCCAACTCCTTATGTCGTTTGGTACTGTTATATGTAATTGTGAAAAGCTTACATAGATGTAAAGTGTATATTACGTGGAGCAGATTTTTAAAAATGTAATGTACTATTTCTAAGTGATACTCAAACTTGTCTGTAAGATTAGTGATATGGGGTTTAAGAAGTCATGTCCTGGAATTCATCTCTGTTAAAAATAAACCTGTTTTGTTTCTAGAAAAAACTCACAGTGAAACAAATTATTATTTAAAATCTGATAAGTAAGTGGTAGCAAATATTTCTGTTAGTAAATGAAACATGACATAGACATTTTTCCTCAGGTGTAGAATGAGCCAAGGAGATTCAAACCCAGCAGCTATTCCACATGCAGCGGAGGATGTTCAAGGAGATGACAGATGGATGTCTCAGGTAAAAAGAAGTACATATTCATGTGGGAGGTATCTCTTCAATTTTTTTTTTTTTAGGATCTTTTTACCAGAGCTTTAAGGGGACAGTTTTAATAGTCAATAAACATTTATTGCTATGAATGTAAATTTTAAAATCTAATGTTAGAAATGTCAAACCTGATCACCAGTCTGCAGCTGAGGAATATTTTGATAGCACGGTAATTGTTCCTGTTAATCTTTAAAGATAGCAATGTCTTTACAATAGTTTTAATTTGTTTTGTTTTTTGAAACTGAGTTTCACTATGTAGTTCAGTCTGGCCTTGAACTGTGTAGCCCAGGGTGGCCTTGAATTCATAGTGATTCTTCTGCCTCAGCCTCCTGAGTGCTAAGATTACAGTCATGCACCACCATAAACCTGACATACTTTTTAAAATAAATTTCAAAATTACACAAATGTTAGAAAATTTTAGGAAGAATCCCCTATATTCTTCATCCACACTTAACACTACTGAGCCATTTGAGAGTAAGTTGTACTCATCATCATTCTTTATCCCTAGATAGTTCAGCATGTTTTCTAAGAACAAAGCTTTTCATATAACTAAAAGATGGTTATTAAAGTCAGGGAATTTAGCATTGATATAATTAATCACTTACTAGTGCAATTATTTAACTACAAGAGGACCAAAAATTGCATATTTTTTTGTTAATTTTTTTTTTTTTGGTACCAGGGATCGAACTCGGATCCTTTCATTTGCAGGGCAGGCGGCGGAACCACTGAACTAAATGCCAGCCCTGTTTTTTTGTTAATTTTTATAACAGGGACTATAAAATGATAATTTTATTAAATTTATTCAATACAAGAATCAACTAGTTGAAATGACACCTGCCTGGGAGATGCTCAGGATAGTCACTATATAAACAAATGCACTGTCTGAGTGATGCTATGGTACCCTGGTTTTGTTCTGTTTGGTTTTGTTTTCCGATACTGGGAATTGAACTTATCCCCAGCTCTTAGGGTAAACTGTTAAGTGATTAATCAAAAAACCATATTCCTATATTTGTATTTCTCCAGTTGTCCCAGTAATCTTCTTTACATTGGTCTTCTTACTCTGAGATTACACATTCTGTTCCACTGTTGTGCCTCTTCTCCTTTGATCTGAAACATTTCTTGGTTTTTATTTTTCATGACCTTGACAGTTTGGAAGAGTACAAGCCTTTTTAAAAAATTTATTTATTTATTTATTTATTTATTTTAAACAGGATCTCTACATAGTTCAGGTTGGCCCTGAACTCAACTGTGTACCCCACACTGGCCATGAACTTGGGCTGATCCTTCTGCCTCAGCCTCTTGACTACTGGGATTACAGGCATGCACCGCCATGTCCAGCCAGGCCATTTTATTTGTTTATGTATGTATGTATTTGGTACCAAGGATTGAACTCAGGACCTTGCGCTTGCAAGGCAGGTGCAGCACCACTGAGCTAAATATATATGTTTTTTGTTTTTTTGTCTCCCCCCGCCCGCCTCCCAGTACCGGGGATTGAACTCAGGACCTTATGCTTGTGAGGTAGGCATGTTGCCACTGAGCCAAGTCCCCGGCCCAGGCCATTTATTTTAAAGAATGTCCTCCAATTTGGATATTTTTTTCCTCACTATCAAGATTCAGATTATGAATTTTTTTTTTGGTACTAGGGATCGAACTGAGGACCTTGCGCTTGTGGGGTCAGGTGGCAGAACCACTGAGCTAAATCCCCGGCCCAGATTATGAATTTTTGACAGGAATGTCAGTCAACTGATGTGTCCTCTCATAGCGCCTAGAAATCGTTGTTGGTTTGCCTCATTGATAACTTTGGTACTTAATTCAGATGGTATTCGCTGTAATCAGTTCTTTCTGGTTAGTTGATTAATTGCATTACTGGGGATTGAACCCAGAGCCTTCACACTGAGCTATATATCTGGCCTTTTTTTTTGGTACCAGGGATCAAACTCAGGACTTCACGCTTTCCAGGCAGGCACTGTGCCACTGTGCAACATCCCCAGCTCTGGCCATTTTTTATTTTTGGTACTGGGGATCAAACTCTAGTCCTTGTGCTTGCAAGGCAGATGGCAGAACCACTAAGCTAAATCCCCTGCCCTGGCCATTTTTATTTTGACATGGGTTCTTACTAAGTTTGAGGCTGGACTTGAACTTGTGATCTTCCTGCCTCAGCCACTCAGAGTGCTGAATTTGGTATTGTTTTCATGTACTGTATTTACATATTATATATGAATCTCTTTACTACATGTATGTAGTAATTTTGTATGTTTTTAACCTTTGAATAATACCTTTGAATGTATGTTTCAGCAGAGTATCATCCATGTTAACAGTGTCACTACAGGGTATGGTGGTGCATATCTGTAATCTTATCACCCTGGGAGGCTGAGGCAGGAGAATCACAAGTTTGATTCCAGCCTCAGCAATTTAGAGACAGCAAGACCTTGTCTCAAAATTTAAAATAAAACTGGGGATGTAAGCTCAGTTCTGAGTTCCAGGTTCTATCCCCAGTACCATTAAAAAAATTAGCTACAATGTATTCATTTTACTCTTTAATAAATGGTACATAGTCTATGGCTATATATGAAATTACCAGTTGATTTTCTCATTGATGGAAATTTACATTATTTACTGTATACCTTTATTAAAACTAGATGTTTTGGTTTTTCTTTTTCTTTCTTTCTTTTTTTTTTTTTGGTCCTGGGGATCAAACTCAAGCACCTTGTGCTTGCAAGGCAGGTGGTGGCACCACGGAGCTAAATCCCCAGCCCTGTTTTGGTTGTTCTTGACATAAGTTAACAGACTTTAAGACTGTCTATGGAAAAAAATCAGTCAAATGAAAAGAAATAGACATAAATATTTTAATAAATATTTTTAAAAGCTTGCATGACAAAGATGGACTATCTTTACTAATATGTCATATGCCCAGACTTTGGTTTATAAATACTACTCTCCAGTGAAAAGAACCAGGAGTTCTAGGAGATATGGTTGATTCTGTAAGTGGAGCAAGGAAAATAAAAGGTGAACCTGGAAGCCAGGCATTGTGGTGCAGACCTGTAATCCCAGTATTTTGAGAGGCTGACACAGGAGGCTCAGCCTGGGCAATTTAGCAAGACTCCATTGCAGAATAAAGAAGGGATGGGGTTGTAGCTCCTCAGTACTACCCTAGGAAAGTGGGAGGCTTATAATATCTTGTAATGCAAAGAAACAATGAAGTAATCAAAAGAGTGAAAACAAGATAGGTGGCAAGAGTGTATGTTCTAGGTGTATCTCACAGAAGACATGTGATATTGGTTTGTCTCATTGATATTTTGATCACTGAAAGCCAACCTCAAAGAGCAACCAAAGTGTGAAATAGAAAATTTGAGCATCATAAATGTCACTATGACTAGTATATAATTCAAAGATATTCATGAATCTTTTCTGCCATAAATAATTAAATGAATTAAATAGAGGAGAAGACACAAATCTTCATAGAAGAATTTAATATAGAAAGGAGGGAAAAGAAAAATAATCTTTCGACCACCACAGTAATAATGAGTATAGGCAGTGTCCGTTGATAAATATCAAAATTGGTGGACACAGCTTTAAAGAGAAACTATATGTCATTTTCCTGTCCTCACAATATCTCCCTCTAAATTTTGGTACGTTAATGTATGACTACAGGTTCTTTGTTTTGTTTTTGTTTTTGCAGTACTGCAGGATTGAACTTAGAGGTGCTTACCATTGAGCCATATCCCTAGATCTTTATTAATCTTTTGGGGTTTTGATTTTTGGACACAGGGTCTTGCTAAGTTGCCCAGATAGGATTTGAAATTGTGATTCTCCTGCATCAGTCTCCCTATGTGCTGAGATTACAGGCCTTTACCACCAAGCCCAACTTATTTTTGATATCCCTCCTTCCAGCATGAGGAGCTTAATTCACCTGACCTTTAGTGTCTTGCTTCTATTTATTTTTTAGGAAAAATAATAACTTATTTGTTACAGTGGAGAAGTTTTGCAAGTGATCAATGATAACATCCCAATAATAGCTTATGTTAATGTCACGTACCCCCTGCAACAAGGTGGACATATTGCCGCTGGCAGTATTCCTAGAAATCTGTAACCTCAGCCTATTCATGATAAAACATCAAACTCAATTTGAGAGGCACCCTACAAAAGCAGCTGATCACTACTTATCTGAAGCGTCACAGTAGTCAGGTGAGGTGTCACATGCCTTGGAGCTACCTTGGGCTACCTTGGAGGCTGGGGAAGGAGAATCACAAGTTCAAGGCCAGCCTTGACAGTAGCAAAACTTTGTCTCAAGATGAAATAAAAAGGACTGGGGTGTAGTTTGCAGCTAGTGTGCTTGCCTAGCATGTGCAGACCCCTGGGTTCAAGATCATAAAAGATAAGGAAAGATTAGAATGCTATCCCAGAGTAGAAAGACTAAAGAGATGAAGACTAAATGCAACATGGTATCCTGAATTGATTCCAGAAGAGGAAAAGGGCATTAGTGAAAAAATTGGTAAGAGTTGAATAATAAACTGTTTAATTGATATGTTTACTAATGTTCACTTATTAGTTTTCATAAATGTATCATATTTATGAAAGATGCTAACAGTGGGGGAAGCTGAGGGAGTGAGTTTTTTTTTTTTCTTCTGGTACCAGGGATCGAACTCAGGCAGGGGAAGCACCACTGAGCTAAATCCCCGGCCCATGCATACTCTTAATTTTTGCAACTCTCCTGTAGACCTCAAATTATTTCAAAGTAAAGTATTTTTCTAAATGTAAAACAATCATGATTAAAGTAAGTATTGAGCTGGTACTCAATACTAACTATGAAATACTGTGTAGTTTTCCTTTGGTATCCATAGGGGACTGGCCCCGAGACACTGCCTACAAAGCCAAATCCACAAACGTTTTAGTTCCTTTTATAGAATGGCATATGACCTACACATAATCATCTCCAGATTACTTACAATACCCAATATAAATCAAATGCTATG